AACTAGCATGGACTGAAGTGATGAAACATCATGTCAGCTCTAAATCAGGTTGGCTGGAAGATGTGGTTTGTTGTCAGAAATTATTGGAGTCAGAATTGTAGATAATATCATTTGTGTCACACAGATGACAAATCCGGTGACCTAGTGATGGGCAAGGGCTCCTGGGTGGCTGTGGGAAACCCTTCCCTACTGAGATGACAAAGCAGTGGCTTGAACAGTTTCCATGACCCTGGAAGGGCCCCTGCCAGAGGGTCTTAACCACAATAGTATCTGGCTGCCTGACTCATGCATGGGAGGTTTTTTTCCAGAGTGTAATCCTGACCTTGAACAAAACCACACAGGGTAGCAGTCTGTTTTGTAGGCTGTGAATTATATCCAAGCCACAGCCAAATCTATCTGCTGCTCTGTGCATCTCCTGAGCCTTCAGCTAGCCAGCCCTTCTGCCACTGCAGGGAAGCAGGTCTGCAGTAAAGCTTCCAGACCAGATGCATGAACAGCTGGTCTGCCATATCTTAGTGCATGGAACAGAAAGTCATATCATGATCCCTCTTCATGGCATTCAACCCATTTGATGGTATCCCAGAAGTATTTAAACATATTTTCATTCTCTGATCCACTCCCTCTTCTGATAACCAAGAACATCACTATATCTTTCTGCCCCATCAATGTAATTCCTAATAAAGTATGTCATTGAAAATGCACCCCCTATTTGATTTATTAGAAGCATTGCTGTCTGTGATGTACTCACATGATGTCTTTGAAAAGGATATTGGATTTGTTCCAAGAAATTGTCAGGTTACTCTAGCATTGGGGAGTGTGTGAACATTCAGAACTAATTCTAAAAGTGGTTGTTTCCCTATTGTACACCCCACCAGATTCATAGCTGGATCGCTTGTTTGGGCTCTGGGTGTTCCTGTCTGGCTACAAAGTAACACGTTTGTAGTGCCCTCGAGGACTTGAACATGCCGCCATTCTGACCTCACAGAACCCAGCAGCTCTGCTCCTGCACTTGTCTAGGTTAGAACCTTCCTGCAGACTCAAGATTGTCATGCTTGTTAACACACTTTTGTAGGCTCCAGCAGGGCTGCCCATGCTTAGCTGGGAGGGAGGATAAAGTAAGGCAGAGAGCAAAGGCCTCTGATAGTCTTGCCTATTTGTTCCTGGCTTCTTGCTTTTATCTCTGACCTTCCAGACTCTGGACCTCATCTGTCTTGAGCTATGGTACCTACCAGTGCCTCTCAGCTTTAGCTGACCTCTCTGGGATGCACCCCTTGTAAGACTGATTGTTTCAGCCTCATTCACTTGCCCTGAAACTCTTACTGATAGTATCTGTCAGATCCCCACCTGGCAAAGCAGGCCTCTAGTACTGACCCCTCTTGGCTGTCTGGATCCTCTTTCCACCGGAACCTAGAACTTATCCACACCTTGACTTAAGCTCTATATGGGTGGGCATTATGTTGATTTGCTCTTTATTTCCTGTAGGAGTTACTCAATTAATGCTGACCAAATGTTGAATGAGGCTGTGTAAAGACTTTCACATTTTAAAAAGTGAGTATAAATTATAAGATTGGCAACCTAGAAGGAAAATTATTTGAATAAAGAACACGAAAGCTGTGATTCTCTTTCTTCTGTTCACGGTAATTCCTGTGGTCCCCTCTGTTATCAAGAGATATTTCCCATATTTGTTTCAGCTCTTAGGAATAACAGGTAAAAATTGATTTGCTGTTCCAAGATACTGACCTAATAGGATTTCCTCCCTGTAATATGAAGTGTTCATAGAAGAAGGGCAAACAACCTCTCCAAATCAGGGACTTAAACTGAACAGTTCTGGAGCCTAAAATTTACAAAAGGCCACTGTAATTACTACTCCTGACTCTGAAACAAATACTTTTCTTCTCCTCCATCCCTCCCCCTGCTTAAACTCACATGTCATATGAGCCAACTTTTCCACCAGCAATTCTTGATACGTAGTGTTGAACCAGAATAGAGTCAATAAATTCATATTTTTTCTCAATTCTTACTTGCTGTAAAATAGTAAGAAGTCACTTATAATCTTACTGCCTTACTTAAATCAACTGCTTGCCTCTATGTTCCCTCAAATTGGAGTATTAGAGTCTTGTCTGAATTAAAGCCCAGGCCGAACCAGCATGGTGCCAATTCATCTTCCTATTTATTTATTTTTTAATCTCTGACTTGGCTATCCTTCTTGGTGGTCATTGCAGCTTGTCAAATGAACTCCTGGGGCTGATATCACTATGAAAAATTTGCATAGATTGTTCTCTTAGAAAATTTTATTTTTCCTAAATAGTAGGAACTAGATAAACACACAGATCCTTAAGACAAAGCCAAACTCTGGATAAGAACATATGTTTTTACATAGAATTTAAAAGAACAGAATGTACCGCAAGATGGGAAGAGCCCAGTGAACTCTTTAATTGGTCTCTGCTGTGTGTTCATGAGGAGGAAAGATGGTTGGAAAAGGGATTCTCATATCTGATCTAAGGACAGCTCTAAGGGGCCAGCATCACAGTAGCGATTAGCCCTGGTACAGAGCTGTAGGTTTGCCCATGTTTCCTTCGCTGAGTCTCTCAGCAATCTGGCTATGTAGTTGGATAGGCAAGATGGTTCACTAACCTTGTCTTCTAAATAAGAAATTGATGCTCAGAATGTTGCTAAGTCTCACTCAGCAAATAAGTGGCAGAGTTGAAAATCAAACCTAGATCATTTGACCATAATTTTTCCTCCTTTCCACATACCAACTCCTGGAATAGTGACTGCTATATGTTCTTCCAGAGCAAAGAGCAGGCCAACCAGTCTCCTTTGCCATGGATTGCCTGAAGACTGGGGTTGGTGTGATATTTGCTTTTCATCCAGTTTTGTTTTGGGCTTCTTCTCTGAATATTTTTTCGAGATGATTTCCCTAGCATACTGTTGCTTATTAGGTCCAAATTCCTGAATGAATATTGGAACTTTACCTTCCTGGAATTAATTCAAGTAAAATAATATCTTTGATATAAACATAAGTCAAGCTACAATAAACAGAAATTTGAAGCTTGTTCAAGGGGTTTGGATTTCATTCTTTGGCTGCTTTAGACCTGGGATGTTGGGTTTAAATAAATAAATAAAAATAAGTAAATCATAAATCATACTGTTCCTGACAGGAAGTAGAATGGAAGCCTCATGGAACTGCCGAAATATATGGTTTTCCTTTAAATTCCTCATTAATTATGACTTGTGCTTCTTTTCTGTGGGAGGAAGAGACATTAAAGCAGAATTATTCTATAGCTAATTCTTGATTATACTTATTCACAAACCATTACCTGCAATTATGAATTCCAAAAGGCTTTGAAAATCCTAATTTTTTCCCCATAATTTTGGTGCAGACTTATTTGGTGGAAATACAAGGTCTAAACTGAAATGAGACTATTTCTGGTCTTTATCCCATTTAATGTGGATATTTATGTATTTTGCTGCAGAAATATTAATACAAGGTGCCGCCAAGATCCTGTTTAGTGTATTACCTCAAATATGGTTGCACGATAACATCTGCAAAATTCTGAATTCTGAAATGCATTTAGCCCAAGGGGTTCAGAGAAGGGACTGCAAACCTCTTCGCAAGAGGAGAAGGGAGATGTGTGACTAACACAGAGTAATGGAGAAACACAAGCAGTCGGCTGCAGGACCTTTCACCCACATTGATGCCCTCCCTGAGAGAAGATTACACATCTCCATCCTGTTGAACTCATGTACACTCGTGTGATTGATTTTCTCTGGAAAATAAAATGTGAGCAGAAGAGAAGAGATGAGTCATTTCCAGGCAAAGCTTTAAGAGCCAACGTGTAGCTCTGCATTCTTTTTCTTCTTCTGCCATGAGCTCAGCAGTGCTGCACATGAAGGCTGGGATCCATCAGCTTGGATGCCCAGTGAAGCCTGGCACGGAGCTGTGGCTGATCAGCACTGGAGATGTAATGTGAATGAGAAAGAAACCTTTGTTGTTGAAGCCTCTGCAGTATCACCTAGTCTATCTTCACTGACGCATGCAAAATCAGTGCCCTCTGGGATGGAGCCATCCATTAATGTAACATCTGTGGACACTGACACAATGAGCAACAGTGTCCTCTAGGGGTTTGCAGTCCAGCTAAACAGATAAATAGTTAAAAAGTCAGGTCTGGCCTGCCACAATGCTATACTCTCTCCTCCACCCCCAGCATTGGTTTCCATATCTAGGCCCAAGGCCAGATGCCTCCTGACTTCACCTATCCAAACACATGCTTGGATACTAATGCACATTTTTCTTTCTTTATTGGATTTAACAAATTACATAAGTAATTCCTGCTTATTATAATAAATTAAACAACACAAAAGTATATAAAGAAAAAGTTTATTCTCTCTTCCTCTCTCTCCTACCAGTGGTATGTATCCTTCTACAGCTTTTTATGTTCTAGGCAAATATATATAGATACATAGGTCATTTTTTAATATTATCCTACCGTGAACATTACCCTGCTAAGGACATCTGTGCAATTCATTTGTTAGCCTTAACTAGACGATTAATTCTTTTTTTTTTTTTAAAGTGACACTTTTTTTTTTTTTTAGATGTTGGGGGTAGGAGTTTATCAATTTATTTATTTATTTTTGGCTCTGGTGGGTCTTCGTTTCTGTGCGACAACTTTCTCCAGTTGTGGCAAGCGGGGGCCACTCTTCATCGTGGTGCATAGGCCTCTCACTGTCGTGGCCTCTCTTGTTGCGGAGCACAGGCTCCAGATGCGCAGGCTCAGTAGTTGTGGCTCACGTGCCCAGTTGCTCCGCGGCATGTGGGATCCTCCCAGACCAGGGCTCGAACCCGTGTCCCCTGCATTAGCAGGCAGATTCTCAACCACTGCGCCACCAGGGAAGCCCCTAGAAGATTAATTCTTTTAATCCTTAATAATTTCTTTTACTGAGTGCTTACTATGTCCAAATCACTCTTGAAAATACTTTATTTAATGCCTTTGTGAACTCTGTGAGGTAGGTACTGTTATTATCCGCTTTTGCCATTTGAGAAAACTGAGGCCTAGATAAACTGAGTAATTTGTGAGACTCATACAGATCAGGAAGTGGTGGAGTGAGAAACCCAGGCAGTCTGACTTTACACTCCACACTTTTAACCTGCAAGTTTTATCGCTTCTATAATTGCATAATAGTCCATGAATGAATGGACTATAATTTATTCAAGCATTTTGCTGTTGATGGAGATTGAGGTGATTTCCTCTTTTCCTCCTTTTATCTTGCTACTGCCAACCATGTTGAAATAACACTGAAATACATACCGATACTCTTTTTTTCTGTTGAAAGAGCCCCACATTAATTTCTTCCTGCGCCTCATTTGGGAGAACACTACCAACTCTGGCAGTCTCAGTCCTGGTTAGGCAGTGGGTCCTGGTTATCATAATTCATATTCCAATGGCCAGTTAGGAATTTTTGTTTCACCAGTTCCTCTGAACCCTCCACATATCTCTCTAGTACAGGGCAGAGTGGAGAGGCCTGTATAAGTCAATGCAGCTTATATTTAGAAACAGGAGGAAGTGAACTGTAAGGGATTATCTTCTCCTAGATGTGTCAGATGCAATCACACAGCATAGATTTATGAAGCGGAGTGAAATATTTGTTTTGATTGCTCACTGATTAAGAATACATAATCTTGACAGACATCTAGGGCAACTACTCTTACTGTAAGAATCTGGGTCAGGGGTGCCCAGCTTCTTCTAATTCAGCAGTCTCATTTCATTAAAGGACTATGCAAAGAAACCTCAGTTTGGGTCTGTACGATTGGCTGCTTCATCTTCGGTATTTCACGTTGCAGGAGCCCCAGCAGTTGCCAACGTTATTGTCTGTCAATGTGTAATGTCATCTTCATAGTTGTTCAGTATAGAGTTTGGAAAAGTATCTGAGTATCTTATGAAAAACGAACATACCATATGAAAAGTGGACATATAATTTAATACTAAAATAATTTATGAAGATATTTGAGGTAAGGTGTTAGACCAAACCCCACATGTTGGAGATGCTTAAAAGTGGGGTTTTGCAAAAACCTGAAAATTATTTAAAAGGAAATGGTTAAAAATCTCAAGAGATATGTTTTAAAAATTTAATCTAGAAGCTCTGCAGGATAGGTATTTATCAACAGATTGCTATGGTGTGCTACTACATGAAAATTGGACAGTAAAACACATTTGGTTATTTTAAGTTAAATTATCCAGTGAAATGCAAAGGGGAAAATCATAGCATAAATTGGGAGATCTTGTGTTTGTGGCTGGATAGTACTTTTGTATTTTTGTGTGAGGTGGTGGGTAGGGGTAGATAAGCATGTGATCTCCTTAAAATATTTTTCTTTAGTACAGTGTAAGCTTTAGGGTAACCAGTTGTTACTCTATACAGTCTATGTTTGAAAGAAATGTATTCAAGACCAAAAATTAATGATTACATATGTAAGAACTTCTGCTTTCAAAAGCAAAACATCACATCATCTCTGTCCTGAAGTGTTAGCGTGTCTGTTTCTTGCGTCAGTAGCCGTCTCCATTTCTGTCTGCTCAGGAGCATTTAAATCAAAAGCCTCACCCTTAAGCATACAGGATGCAGGCCTCAATCCCTTCTTTACTCTGTTCATGCAAGGGTGGGAAATGTGACAGATGTTTTAACCAACCCACGTTATCTTTAATACCACTGTTTTCACCAGCGAGAGCCTGTTTCTACATCCACGGTGCGAAGATGCTGCTGATTTCACCAAAGGAACTCAGTTTCTGAAATTCTTGATACTCATTAGCAAAAGCACAGGTGAGGACCAAGAAATGAATGCCCAAAGTGCAAGTAGCAGCAGTCACTCTGGTGTGTGGGCTTTTACCCCATGAATGTGGGTTCCTGATTAGGACATACGGCTGCCCCTTGAATAAAGCTGAAACCAGCTAACACATTATTGGGTCCCATGGTCTATGCTGAAGATTTTAAAGTAAATTGTGGACGTTTATCTGTGATGGACCTACACAAGCCCTTGAACTCAGCTGCTCTCCATCTTATTTCCTTCTATATTCGTTCAGATTTGCCTTTGGCCACATATTATTTTCATTTCTAGCTCAGCTCCTGCCCCAGATTCATGCATGATGATACTTCTCTCTTTATACATAAGTGTATTAAAAAGTATGCTTACTGTTTTGAGTGATCATTTAGGTTACTTTATTTACTACTGCCATTGTGCTAAATGCAATAAGTTTTCACCTGAATGATTTAAAGCTCTGCCAAAAGAGGAAAAAAAATGACAAGTTTCCCTTTGGTGTGAAATGAGTGCCTTCCACTTCAGTCTCCTGGGGCTCTGCTTCCTTTCACCTGTAAAGTGAGGAAATTTGGACGAGAATAGCTACTCTTTCCCTGTGAGCTCTGATAATCTGAGATGTCTGTCCTAGCAGTTACACCTTGGGCTCAGGCTGCAGCAGCCTGTGAGACAAATCCATGGAGGACTTGCTGCCTTGGGTGTGGGTCTTTCCCCTTGTGGTGGTGAAATAGAAGACTCCAGACATCACTATTTGATAATCCAGCTGGCTACGTTCCAGTCATGACTAACGGATGAGTTTGGTGATGGTGCTAAGACTCTGCTGTAGGTGAGGCATCCTTTAGATCAAGAAGTACATCAAAAGGGGAATCTATGGGATTCAACTGTCTGCCTTCAGTTTTGATGCAGTCATTGATCAAATAAACATGAAGAGCATAGCACATCTTCCCATCTTTTCCTTTAAACTGAGTTCTGGTCCCTCAGCAGGTTGCATAATTTTTTCCAAGGCAGCAAAGACCCTTTGCCTCTGAATATCCAGTGTTGTCTTTGAAGGAATAATGGGCTGGAGTTGATGTCTGTGTTTAATTTCAATTTAAATATTATTTTATAATAGGCTTTTGTTTCAATGTCCATTTAGTCTTTTTTTTCTTTTTAACATCTTTATTGGAGTATAATTGCCTTACATTGTTGTGTTAGTTTCTGCTGTATAACAAAGTGAATCAGCTATACATAAACATATCCCCATATCTCCTCCCTCTTGCGTCTCCCTCCCACCCTCCCTATCCCACCCCTCTAGGTGGTCACAAAGCACCGAGCTGATCTCCCTGTGCTATGCGACTGCTTCCCAGTAGCTATCTATCTTACATTTGGATGTCAATGCCACTCTCTCACTTTGTCTCAGCTTACCCTTCCCCCTCCCCGGGTCCTCAAGTCTCTTCTCTACGTCTGCATCTTTATTCCTGTCCTGCCCCTAGGTTCGTCAGAACCATTTTTTTTCCTTAGATTCCATATACATGTGTTAGCATATGGTATTTGTTTTTCTCTTTCTGACTTACTTCACTCTGTATGACAGACTCTAGGTCCATCCACCTCACTACAAATAACTCAATTTCATTTCTTTTTATGGCTGAATAATATTCCATTGTCTATATGTGCCACATCTTCTTTATCCATTCATCAGTCGATGGACACTTAGGTTGCTTCCATGTCCTGGCTATTGTAAATAGTGCTGCAATGAACTCAATGCCCATTTAGTCCTTAATGGTAGAGTTATTCGTCCTCACAGAGAAATTAAATAGACTGAAACTTGAAAAAGAATTTATAGATATCAGTTTTATTCAATATATGTTGCCTGTTGACTGAATTCAAGGAAGGTGCAGCTTCCGTGGCTGATATTCTAATGAAAGGACTCCTTCGTTTGTTCGTTTGTGTCTGTATTCTACCTGTTGTTTTTCTCCCTGTTCTCTCGTCTTCAGTTGTCATGCTTTTGCTCATCTTCAAAAGGGGGCAGCTTAGCTCATGATCCTAATATCCCCCGGAAAATATGGGGAAAGAGGGTTGGCAGAAATTGCTGCTTTTTCAGCTCAGTTTTCTCCCCTGGATACTTTAGTTCAAATCTTCGCTTTTTCTTTAAGTCATCAAGCCATCAGGTCAAGCAAAGAAAGAACCAACCATGCTTACGGTCATATTTTGGTTACTCTTAATCAGAAAGTAAAAAGTTAAGGATATAATATTATTTTTTAATAGTCTTATTAAGTGTAATTTTTTTATTATGTTTTAAGCCAAGCTCTCTCTCTCTCTCCCTCCCACCCTCATCTTTTGGAATAATAAACCTTTCTTGGCCTCTTCTTGCTGACCCTGAAGAAATCTCATGACACCATGATCCTCACTCAAATTCATGTTTGGTTAATCTATTTATTTTTTTAGGTACACTCTTCCACCTTGTTCTGAGCCCTGGTGGTTGGACAACTTCACCAGACTACCTTATTCTCTGGTTCCAGGTTGGTTTGGCCAATGGAAGTGTTGGCAGGGATTAGAGCAAGAGAGGAGACAGAGGCCTGTGTGTTCACCACCCCTCCCCTCTCTTTGTAGCGGCCAATGCATTGGCTCATTCTGGACTCCCTTATATTTTCTGTAAAATGTCTCTCCCCACACAGCCTCTTTGTTTTCAAATTCCAGCAGCCACCTTTCCCCTTCAGGCTTATGGGTGTTAACAGGGTCCACTGATACCAACTCCTCATTGTCTCTTGAGGTTCCCTACACCCTGCACACCGACTGTAGACAGGCCCCATATTAAACTTTCCTCATGGTATTAATTTGGAATGTGCCATCTGTTTCTTGCTGGAGCCCCGACGGATAGAATAATTCAATGAGTGCTTATATTACTGGGAGGTAGTATGGCATAATGGTTGTCTTCCATGTGGCACCCGATGGATCTAGGCTTGAAAACATCCTCGTCACTTGCTAACTCAGAGTGGAGATTATTTAACCACTCTGAGCCTTAGCTTTCTCTAATTTAAAGTGGGGATAGTATTACCTACTTCACAGAATTGTTACAAGAATATGTATGAATACTCAAAAATGTTAACTATTATATATAATTATATACAATAACATTAGAGAAATATATAATACTATATATTATAACATAAAGTATTGTATAATAGCATATAATAATATTGTATTATCTATAATAACATTATATATAATGTTTTAGTTTCCCCTCAATGTATACTGAATCACTTCCTTTCTGGTAATGCCTGAGCAATTACAAAGCAGTCATTTTTGGTTCCTCTCCACCCTCGTGCTGTTGATATTTGTGTTTCAAGTTAGACCTCCTCTTCCCTTGTGCCCCACAAATTCTTGCTTATCTTTTTTTTTTTTTTTTTTTTTTTGCGGTACGCGGGCCTCTCACTGCTGTGGCCTCTCCCGCTGCGGAGCACAGGTTCCGGACACGCAGGCTCAGTGGCCATGGCTCACGGGCCCAGCTGCTCCGCAGCACGTGGGATCCTCCCGGACTGGGGCATGAACCCGCGTCCCCTGCATCGGCAGGTGGACTCTCAACCACTGCGTCACCAGGGAAGCCCCTCTGCTTATCTTAATGGTAGTTTGCTTCCCACAGGTGGTCCTGGCTGCTCTGGTAATCTTCCCTCAAGTCTGTGGAATTTTCACATGACTCTTCTTCAAAGGGTGAGTGCTAGACACGGGGGTCCCTGGTGAAGTGAAAGTTTTTTGCTTATGTTTTAACCCTAATCGTTGGCTGCTTTTCTGCACAGGTGCTAGGCATCACTGGGTAATCCCATTGCTTTACAGCAGAGCTGTTTTTTGTTTCTACCTTCTTTAAACAATATCTCTAAACTGTTCTGAGAGTACTGGCTAAGCCCAGAGAAGTGTTGCAAGGATTAGCTAATTGATTATTTTAAATGCTTTGAAACTGGCAGAAAGTTTAGTGAGAAGGATAGGCTAAATAATTTTTGCAGGCTTGATGGGAGTACAAAGTGTACCAAATGGCCCTTCCAATTTGCTTTGGTATGTAGTAGAACTTGCTTATTGTATAACATGTCCCATTAAAATGAGTTATATATGTTACTGCATTTAAAACATGACTTGGGGAAATGCTTTAAGATAAAGAGAGGTGTTTGGAAGATATACAAAGCTTTTGTCGAATGGAGGTGCAGGTACTGAAACCACTTGGGTTTTTCTGACTCAAGGGAAGTCCTATGAAGCATGGTTCATAACATTTGTTTTCTCAGGGCCTGCTGTGTGTCGGGGTTGCATTGGTCACCATGGTTCCCAGCCTCCAAGGCCTATAGACTAGAAGAGGAGACAGGTATACAGACAGTGGAAACCCTTTGACAGTATGTCAGAGAGGCTAAGATGGATGAATATACCAGGTACAGAGTGAGGAAATCAGGGGGTAATTATCTGAACCTGGGGGAAATCAGGGAAGATTCATAAAGGAAGAGAGGCTTCAGTTGGTTTTTAAGGGTAAGGGAAGTCTGTCGCATAATAAAGGGGTGAAGGGCATTTCAGACAGAGGGAAGAGCATATGAAAAGTCTCTCCTTCTCTCTCTCTCTCCCTGTTTCATTCAAACATCTTTAAGAGTCTCTACTTCTTCTATATCTAGCTCTATCTTATTCTTTGCACATAGTAGATATTCAATTAATACTTATAAATGGATAGAATGAGTGGTAGGATTATAGGTAGTGATTTCAATTTTATTCATTAGGTTTTTCTTTATTTTCTAAATTTTCTGTAACAAACTTGTTTTTATTTCGTAATCGGAATTTTCTAAAATATTCAGGGAATGGTTATCAGAGTCCATGGCTACCTTGGAGTTGGAGATGAATGTAGTCAAAGAGGTCAGTGAACTCTGGGCCATGGGGACAGTTGTTCACGTGGTGAGGCATAGACTTGAGACTGTGGGAGGCATCACTGGAAATGAAGCTGGAATGATAGTTTAGGAACTTTGGACTTTATGTGGTAGACCATGAGAAACCATTGAAATTATTAGTCAGGACGTCTGTGTTAAGGATTCTCTGGCAATACTGTAGAGCATGAACAACTGGCTGCAGGAGAGGCTGGAGGGGAAGGGCCAGTTGTGACACCTTTATACTCCAGGTGGAGAAGTGCTGAAAGTTCTCATGTTTGGGTAGTTGGAGAGAAGATAATGAGTTTGATTTTAGACAGGATACATTTGTAGTGTCCGTGGGACAGTCTGTAGGAAGGCTGGTGGGGAGGAATCAACGCCTAAAACATGACTGACATCAGCAACCTCAGAGAACTGGAGGCAAGGAGGCTCTGGAAACTCCATGAGGCAGTGAGGACCATGGACAGCATGGCCACAAAGGCAAGAGAAAAACAAAAGAAAACGGTGCTGTGGAAGTCACGAGAGAAGAAAAGGGAGAGGTGATTCAGAAATGAGCAAATTATCTAGTCAGGAGGTATATTATTTTTCTTTTTCCAGACATTCCTCTTCCTCCCTGCCTTTAGGTTTCTGCTCGAAAGACATCTCTTCAGAGATGCTTCCCCAGACCACCTACGTAAAGCAGCACCCTTCATCACTCCATGCCACCTTCCTTGAGTACTGTTTCAAAATGTAGGCTTTATTATTATTCAGGTATAGTGAGAATCAGGAGGTGATTGCCATTGAAAAGGTATAATAGTTTGTTATTCACAGTTTCTGAGGAGGGTACGTGCCACGCTATGCAGGGCCACATGGGGGAGGCACCAGGGCCAGTCAGGAGGCAGAGGGAGGGTAGAAACATATGCTAGGGATTTACTGTGGTTTCCGTGGGAAGGAACAGGTGAGGCAGGAGGCAGGATAAGCAGATTTAGGATTGGCTAGTTTGAATAATTTTGGTGGGCCCTTGGGCGTAAGGGCTATGCCTTGTTGTCTGGTACCTGCCCCTGGGTGATTAGTGATCAGAAGCTAGTGACCTGAGTGAAGTGGTTGGGGTAAGGGCTTGGATTGGTTGGTTTGCATATGAAAGACTTGCTGGAAATGTGAGTTGTTTACTATCTCTAGGAACTGGCTAGCCCTTGGAGGGGTGATGAAAACATCAGAATAAAAGGCACGCTTAATAGGAGCACCACTTGACATTATACTGCATGTTTATTTGTTTGCAAAGCAGTGCCAGGGCTGAGACCACGGTGCAGTGAACGAGGCATTCACCTTGGGCACAAAGTGTAAGGGGGTGGGTGCCAAAGAACTCAGTAATCAAGGTCAATCGTATGTTAATTAAAAAAATCAAAATGAACACAAAAATATTCATGATGAACAAAATACCGAAATTGTAAATAAAGACAGGATCAGTCACAGTCTGTGCTGAAACAAAAGGAAGAATCAGTAATATGGATCCTGTCTTTTTGATTTTTAAAACTGTTACATTCAAATTATCCAGCCTTAAAAAGGAAGGCCATTCTGACACATACAACACCATGGGTGAACCTTGAGGCTAAGTCACAAAAAGACAGATAACTCGATGATTCCACTTACATGAAGTACTTAGAGCGGTCGAAATCATGGAGACAGAAAGTAGAATGGCGGCTGCCAGGGGCTGGGGGAGAGTGGATTGGGGAGTTAGTGTTTAATGGGTATAGAGCTTTAGTTTGGGAAGTTGGAAAGTGTTCTGGAGATGGATGCTGGTGATGGTTGTACAACATTAGGAACGTTATTTGATGCCACTGAACTTAACCACGTTTAAGCGTGTGTACACTTAAACGTGGCTAAGGTGGCAGATTTTATGTTATGTGTATTTTACCATGGTAAAATAAATGTGAAAAGACACTATTGCATTAAAATAGTGCTTATCTTGATTACTTGTTGGCACCCCTTTACATTTTGCACTGGCCCACCCTCATCTTGAGCCTGGGGAGCACTGTGGGAGGAGCTGGGTGTGGGGAGGAAGGTGTTGGGGGATCAGGTGCTGAGGTTTGGCTGTCCTCCTTCAGAGGACGTGAGCCTTTTCTACTTCTCATTGTTTGGAGCCATTTATTTTGAAGGAGAAGAGGAACTGTATCAGTTAAGAATGTGTTTGGCTGCAAATAACAGAATACTATGGCTTAAGCAAATAATGGCTTATTTTTCTCACACTCCAAATATCTGGAGGTGACCACTGCTGGGGTTGATTCTGTGACATGGTGGTTGGAGCTAATGTCTGTTTGTTTGTTTTGGGGGGAAGGGGCAGCACCATATGCACCTGTCCTTTCCATCAAAGAAGCTCAAACCATTTTGGAAACACACCTCCTAATAACTTCTTAAGCTTCATCGTTTAGTCCTGAGTCAAATGGTACCCTGTCCCCCAGCTGCAAAGGAGGCTGAGAAAGCACGGTACAGGGTTGTCAAGACTGACCAGGACCAATCCTGATCCACTGCCTATGTCTGGGCAGAGTGCCCTTTGCACAAGATTGGAGTTGTTAGCGAGGAAGCAAGAAGGGAGGGAACTCCCTGGCGGTCCAGTGGTTAGGACTCTGCGCTCTCACTGCCGAGGGCCCGGGCTCAATCCCTGGTTGGGGAACTAAGATCCCACAAGCCATGCGCGGTGCGCGGTGCGACCAAAAGAACCCAACAACAACAACAACAAAAGGCCAAAAACCAAACAAACAAAAAAAGGAAGCAAGAAGGGAAATGGCCATTGTGAAGGTAATTAACCATGTCTGCTACAGGGTCCTTGACTATTGACTTCCTTCCATAGAAACAATGGTACTGGTACCTTGGCATATTTATATATTTTTCCTCTTGCAAACGGAGTAAGCATTTTCTTCACTGTACTGTGTGGCATCTAGCAAATTGGTTTTTATGGGCTTAAAACCCTGAACTATTTAAGGGTAACTCTATGGTACTGCTGTGAGACGGGTCCACCTCTCTAGCCTTGAGAAGTGATTAACATGGAAAGCATGAAAAACATGGCCCATTTTCTTTTCAGATGACTTAGAATTGGCTTAGTGTCTAATCATTTACTCCCGCCAGGCCTTCTGTCTTGTGTCCTGACCTCATCGTTTCAGACAGATGACTTTCCCGCACCGGCGAGCCGGGGAAGTGGATCATTACATTTTTCTTTTTAACTACACACTGAATAAGCAACCTGCTCTTTATTGATTTGGAAAACTTTCTATCTAGGATTTAAGATCCAGTCGAATAGGATGGAGATGTCTGAGGTTCTTACAAGACTTCACTAAAAAAAAAAGGTTATACAGATTCCATGGTCTAGATGTCCCAAGGTCAAACTCATATCCGGCTACTTCCCAAATATTTTTATGTGGAAGAAATAAAAACTGGAAGAAAAAAAGAGATGGGCAAAACATCCCGAAGAAGTAACTTGTCAGCTGAGATGCGGGCAGGGAGAGCAAAACCCGAACCCCGGGTGGCTATGGCAGGAGGAGTCCATGCTGATGATGGACAAGCGCCATGGGCCTCCACATCAGTGCTGATTTGCCACGTGCCTCTTCACCCTTTTTTCCTCTGCTTCTCTGAGTCACAGTGAATTCAGAACCTTCATTCCTGGCTCCCATGATTACCTTCACTGGTAAGTTTGCAGGGGAGGCTCTTCATTTTATGCACATAGAGCACAGTTGTAAGTTGTACCATGTTTTACTACAATTCCTTAAAGTTAGGTGGGTCCTAAAGAAGGAACTGAGTCTAGAACTTCTTGCCTTCTCCTTTGAAAGATCCCCCCAGAAATGGATG